AAAACCCATTATTTTCGGTGATGCTTTGTTTGACAATAAGATTGGTTTTCACATATTCTAATTAAAACACATACTTTATATTTATTTCTAAACTGGGATTAATACAGCTTACATTTGTAACAGCTGAAAGCAAGTCATATTCAAAGGAGTGCCACTAAGAAAAAATGTTTTCTCAGACAAGGAGGAAACACCTTTAAAAGCATACTTTGTAGAGTTTCCTTTCAGCTGCGTTTCACATTGAGAAAATCTTCATATTGCAAATTTGAAAATCAGACACTGATTTCTAGGTAATGCCAATGATTTTAACATGTAAAGAGTAAGGAACTTCACTTAAAAAAATAAAAAAGACAACCACAGGGAATTCTGTTAATCCCATCCAGCTTAGACAGTATTTCAACATGACAGAATTATTATATTTCTAAAGACATTTATGTCAGAAGAACTTGGACCTCCTGAAAGAGGATAAAGTGGGACTCCCCTCTGGATAACATCATATAGTTGAAACAGGGGGTGGAAGGGGTCTACTAAGCCCGGCCTCCAGAGAGGAAGACTGGAAGGGGCCCAATAAATTCTTCTACTGGTCACTAGCCTGTCCTTTCTCCTCCTAAGCAGTGGAAACAGAACACAGGCAGGGCATCCTGATGAAAACACATACTTTATATTTCTTTCTAAACTGGGTTCCTGGGCATGTGGGAACACAAGCTTACTGTCTCTGCATCTGCTGGGCAAAAATATTTAGGTTAAATATAACCAACACGATGGAAATCTGCTTAAAGAGTAGAGAGGTCCAGGAATTTTAAAGGACGGGTTAGCACTATCTGAAATTTCCCCCAACTGCCCTGAATAGACCATGTGGATACTTTACATGGAAGCCTGCTTTGAGCCTCCTGCTGCCCGAAGCTCGCAAGGCCTCGGCAGCTGTGTGCACTTTGCACCAGTCCACCCCCAAAGCCTTTGCAATTCCAACCCCAGAGATACTGGCTGACAAGCATTAAACTATGTAAAATGGAAAATTAAATGGAAAGCCTCTTCCCGCCTTCTCCAGGTGCTATGTAACTGGGAGCATGGATCCTTATCAGCCTGTTTTACAACCCACTGCTAGGTCTTTCAAAGCAGGAGGCCATCTCATCTTCATCTCTGTCCAGTAAGGTCATGGTGCTCTTGAATACTTTACTCTGTGAAACACTGATGATGCCCAAAAGCTGCCATTCCCAGGCTACACCTTCTAACAGGCACGTTCTTCAGATGGAAACAGGCACACCCCTACTCCAGCAATCACAGAACCACGACTGAGTCATGGATACTTGCTCTGTGAAGAGGCAGTGGAACCTGCACACCCTGAATTGATTTAAGAGGAAGCTCTTCTCCCTTTATGTCCCCACCACTCCTGCCTCTTCAAAGACCTGTGGCTACAGTCTTCCTGGAGAGGAAATTCTTGTGAATTTTCCTTCTCCTCCCTACCACACCTCCAGTGTGCCCTTGGCAACAGGTTCTAATTCTGCAGGTCATGGAAGGAGAGAGAATAGAGGACGTTGTCAACAGCAGTGCCTCCCTCTCATCCCTGTACAGTCCTTGCATTCTGCAGAAGAACAGAGTGGGAGGCAAGGTCTCCAGAGACGGGGTCTTCTGGATGAGAAGGACTTACCGGCCGCCTCCTAATTCCTTCTGCTTTCACCTCCAATTGCTACATTTCATGCTCAGCCAAGTTAAGGGAACATGTTGGCTTGAGCAGAGGAAAAATGCAGCTTCAGTATCATGAAATGAACTACTCTGTCATCAAGGCAGAGCTTACAACACAGACATTGAAAGGTCTGACAAAGCCCACGTGGAATGGGGATCCTGCATGGCTTGTTTATAAACTGAATGTTCCCTCCCCCAATGCAACTTGACAGTGGTAACACTTCTCTTTTCTTAATTTCTCATTTCCAACACCATGCCAGGAACCTAGTAGATACCTGGAATAATGAGAACTCTGTTTATATCTGGAGACAAAATTAAATAACAAAAAATATACTGAAGGGGAATACTGAGGCATTATGGGGAGCATACAAGAAGGGGTCTACATCCTGGCCAACATGGTGAAACCCTGTCTCTACTAAAAACACAAAAATTATCTGGGTGTGGTGGCATGTGCCTTAGTCCCAGCTACTCGGGAGGCTGAGGCAGAAGAAATGCTTGAACCTGGGAGGCAGAGGTTGCAGTGAGCCAAGATTGCGCCACTGCACTCCAGCCTGGTGCCTGGCGACAGAGCAAGACTCTGTCACCAAAAAAAAAAAAAAAAAGAAGGGGTCTAATCAGTCAGCTACGGGGTGGGACTGTATTAGATTAAATATTAAGAACCTCTTGGCTGGATGAGTGGCTCATGCCTGTAATCCCAGAACTTTGGGAGGCTGAGGCAGGTGGATCACAAGGTCAAGAGATCATGACCATCCTGGCCAACATGGTGAAACCCCGTATCTACTAAAAATACAAAAATTAGCTGGGCATGGTGGTGTGTGCCTATAAACCCAACTACTTGGAAGGCTGAGGCAGGAGAATCACTTGAACCCGGGAGGCAGAGGTTGCAGTGAGCCAAGACTGCACTCCAGCCTGGTGACAGAGTAAGACTCTGTCAAGAAAGAAAGAAAGAAAAAAAAGAAGAACGAACCTCCTGCAGTACAACACAAAAAATCAAACCAGTACCATTTCTTTCCTGCTTAGAATACTTTAAAAATTGTGGCACTGTATCTCAATGAGAGAGAAAGAGCAATAAATGAATGGATGGCTCTCAATTATTAAAAGTTTCAGCCAGGCACAGCGGCTCATGCCTGTAATCACAGTACTTTGGGAGGCCTAGGTGGGAGGATTGCTTGAGGCCCTGAATTTGAGACCAGCCTGGGCAACATAGTGAGATATGTTTAAAAAAAAAATTTTAATGAGCTAAGTGTGGTGGCACATGCCTATAGTCCCAACTACTCGGGAGCCTGAGGTGGGAGGATTGCATTAGCCCAGGAGTTTGGCTGCAATGAGCTACAACTGCACCACTACACTACAGCCTGGGCAACAAAGCAAAACCCTGTCTCAAGAAAAGTTTGTAATAAAGCAAAAAAAAAAAAAAAAAAATTTGGTTATAATCAGAGGCACGTAATGTCAAAGTCCAGGATGTACAAAAGAAAACGTGCTGCACTGGCCACATCCTTGAAAATAAATTATCTGCAGGAGATAAAATTTCAGAAGAACCAAGAATAGTGTGAAGAAAGTCATCTTGTTTTCTCAGAATAAATACCAAAGATCTATCTATGGTGGACAGCTCAGAAGAGACAGGGCATAAGAACAGAAGTAATGTTGGGAAAAATTAGCTAAACTAGACTAAACAGCAGCTGAGGAAGCGGGGTAAGATGAGAATGAGGAATTAACAGAATAAGCTCACTGGAAGGCCTTCAAGCTGAGTGAAAGGAATTTAAATTTGCTACACAAAACTCAGCCCACCATTTATATGAAATGTCCAGAATAAGCTACAGAGACAGAAAGTATTAACATATCACTGGTTGACCAAGACTGGGGAGCTTGGGATAGGAAATAGAGTGTGCCTTCTAATAATGGTCACAGGGTTTCTTTTGGGGATAATGAAAATGTTCTACAATCAGATAGTGGTGATGGTGATAGTTGCACAACTTTTTAAATATATTAAAAACCATACAATGGTTCAAATGAGTGAATATTGTGGTATGTGAATTTCATCTTAATAAAGCAATGAAGACAAAATAAAACAAAAATACACTAAAGATTCTGATTCAGCTGAAAATTATTGCAAGAAGCTGCTTTCCTTAAGCTGAGGGGCCCCTCACCAAACTACAGTGAGGTCTACACCAGAGAGCCCACAACACAACCCCAGGAATCTCACAGACCTTCTGGGGCAATCTCCAAAGTGCAAACTGGATGAACCTGCTGCCTGTTTTTCCAAATTACACTTAGAAGAAATCACAGGTGACTAAAGAAAATAAGGATTTCAAATGTGGTTCATTCCATTTGATTACATATTAATGTGGAAGTGGCATTCAGTCCACAATAAAACATAAACGATCCCTCAAAGATATGTGCATAACTCAGCAAAGGGGGAGTTAAATCTTTCAGAAGAGCTCTACTGTGAAACTGCAATATAATCTTGGAAGAGAGGAAGGCCTGAACAAACCCTCCAGCGGTCTCCCCATCTGTTATCTGAAAGGTACCTAGCTAGACACCTGAGTTACACACAGACACTGGAGCCCACCTACAGAAACATAAATGCAATCTGTCTGGGATGGATGTAAAAATAAGGACTCTTAAATTCCATAGATGATTCTAATACACACCTGGGACTGAAAACTACTGTATTAATCAAAATCTTAATTTTCTATAGAAAGAAAAGGTGCAAAAAGGTAAATTAAATGTTGCTCAAGTCACCTGGCAAATTGGCCTAAATGTCAGGACTGGAACCCATGTCTCCTGACCCCCAAACTTCAGGACAACCATGTTTACTGTGTGGGTGTGGAGGCTCAGGGAGGTTATCCTTAGAAAATGCTGGCCTCAAAAGGCAGAAAATCCTGTAATTAAAAAACTACAGAACATACCCCTGAGCTATCATCAGGGAAATAAGTGACCTTGAGATTGGGCTAATATGACGTCCTAATATGCAGGAATTTCACGGCTCTGCCATGTGCCCCAGTGGGACCTGATGTGCAACAAATGGAACTTATTATGGAGGAGCAAAGATTTTTGTAATTTCACAGACCAGATCTTATCTGGAATTCCTTTTTTTAAACAAATAAGCTGAGTGTTATAAAGTAAACATCAAGGAATATTAAAAGCCAATGCTTCATTCTCTCAGTTCCACATGGAACCAGTGCTGCCCGCAAAGAGCAAAGCAGGCCCTGGCAGACTGACCTTCACAGACCATGCTAAAACCCTCTGAGGAAGTGCCTGGTGAATGCTCTGGTTGACGAGCTTCGAGCCATTACATTACCGAGCAGTGTGCTTCTTACCTATAATTCCACTGTCCTTGCTTTCCAGGGTGGAACTAGGGCTGCTAATGGTCTCACAGGGACTTTTGTTGGCTGCCGTCTTGCTGACACAGCTATTCAAGGTTGAGCAGGGGCTATCGGTGCTAGGAGATGCGGTGCTGCTTGTTAGTGTGGAGCAAGGACTGATGCCTTGGCTCAGAGCTGTGCACTGCAAGACGAACGGAAGGAGGAGTTAGCACGGCTTACACAGGATGCTTTGACACATGCTTTTGTTTTTGACACTAAAACAATAAAACTAAGAACAGGAAAACGGAAGTTTTTAAAAAAAATCTAAAGAGATATGTGTGTATAGATATGGATACATGGAGCTGTATCTATATAAATGTATATGTGGTCTTCCCAATTTTAAGGGAGAAATACCTTTCTTCTCTTCCCCTCCTTTGTGATTTTCCGTTTTATTAAAAGGTCAGTCTTAACAATAATTTAGTGAGAATGCACATTTGTAAAACAGAAATGGCAAACAGGCAGACTTCCTTTCATTTGAAGTCTGCAGAAGACAAATGGGTTATTTGACCTCTGTACAGAAAACCTGGGAAATCTTTTTTTATAATGTTTCACGAGCACAGTGACCTGATTCAATTCCTAAAGATTTATGGGCTCTGCAATCAGGGGATGGAGACTGGTGACCACTGCGGTCTCAATCAACACATGACACCCTCCCTTGCAGAGCAGAGACCTTCACCAGGGGTAGAGGCTCCATTCTGCATTGCTATTCAGACGCACACATCACATCTGGGAAGTGGCAGGGTGCATGCTGCTGCTCCCTTGGAGGGAGAAGTGCTCTCCTGACAGATGAACCATTTGATCTCATCTTATTTTGTCTCTGCCTCATCTCCTATAAATTTTTTCCTCACCCCAGTGAACCTCCAAAATCTCAACAGCTAAAAAAGCACAGGAAAGCATATACCAAAGCAACCAGATGAGAAGAATGTGCTATAAAGGTAAAAGTACTGGTATCATTATGAAGGAATTCTTTTAGCCTCCTTAATTCACGTAGTCATTATTCTCTGGGTGGTGACTGGAAGGTTAAAGTGGACATTTTCTTATGTTCTGCTTCTTTCTGCTTTTCCCCACCTCCCCACTACAAAAACCCAGAACCACACTGTTGAAATAAATTTCAGTACACAACAGCCCAGAACTCATTTAACTGAACAACGACTTCCCCACTCAAGGAAAGGGAGAAGATGGTTATTGCTCCATTCATCCTCTGAAGAGGTATGCAATGTAGTATCTTCCTCGGGCATTACCATGGTTTCATTTTTGTCTTCAATGGTTATGTGTGTGGCACTTGGGATCCCTTCTCCCAGTAAAAATCCCAGCCTTGTCAACAGTTCTTGAGCTGCCGGTGAACAGCTCGGTTCATTATCGGCCTTTGCTTCTGGAACAAAGAAAGAAAACAATGAAGATGGCCCCCTGGGGAGCTTCAGTATGCATCTGGATGAGTTCACACTACAGCTGCTTGTCTGGCGATTTTGTGCGTTTTTATAAAATTCGCACAAAGTTTGACAATGCGGCCTGTCCTGTAGCAATACATTCTAATTAAGGGACTGTGACAGGTTAAGGAAACAGTAAAACAAAAACTCCAAGTGCAAAGGGTGAATCAAAAAAGCCCAGTGTTATCTGACGGCAATTCCTAATTCCATGTCATGTGAAAACGGGTACTTCAGACACTCGCTTGTGTAAGAAAAGGCCCGTCCTTCGTGTTACCCTTATAGAGTGCAGGGTGGCTAACGCCCACTGGAGGTTGAAATAAAGCAAAAACCCTAGGGGCATGCTGGTAGAGACCCAGGCTATTAAGGGTAAAACTGAAATCCAAGCTCTCATTAAACAAGACAGGGGCAAGACAGTGGAAACTTTGATGGAAAACTTGCTGTGCACATCCCACAATAGAAGTCAAAACCCGGATTTCGACTTGACGGTCAATCATGGAGAATCCACACTGAAACAAAGATTTAAAATCACAGTGAAACCTGTCCCAGGAGACAAGACCCAGTATCACACTGTTGTCCATGTAAAGATGTAGAAAAATCAAGCTATATTCTCAGAATGCTGCACAGCAATGCTGGGAAAGCCCAGTTTTCTCGGGTTCTCCTTGAGGTTGGTCATCTGGCTTTTTGTACTTAAGAGAATTTTATGGTTGGATTTAAATGTTGAGCTGTAGGTTAACCCTGTACCTAAAAAGCCCAAAGGCACTTAATTATGGCCAAGAAATAAAACGATATCCACATCCTTCTAACACTTCTCACCTTCTAATATCAGTTTGCATCAGGGGATGAAAAATGTACAAAGCAAGTTGCTTACAGAAGTTAGAACTTAACAACAAGTAACCTATGACATAGTCATTCAATATTTTGCTCTTGTTTATTAATTGTCTAGGTACCTAGACTCACATGAAACTATTCTGCTTAGATGTAAAAATCTGCAGATAATGGGTAAAGGTCTTAGAAAAAATAAAATGAGGAAACAACACAGTGATGTTGCCACTGAGCTACAATAGCATCAATAAAGTTCAATGCTCACTTTGCCTTTTGTAAGGAACCACAAAAATCAAAATAAGCAAAGCTTTTGCAAAGGCCCTCTGTCTTATTCTCACTCACATATCAGTTTTCCAAGTCATGCACCCAGGATAGCAGCTACAAGGAAAACTACACTGGCAGCATCTTCAAGAAAGGAAAAGTGTCCCACCCCTTGCTTGCTCGCAAAAGCTCCTAATGTTTGGGGTAGGAAGAATGGTTTGCCAGCTTGGATGTTTTTTACTTGCTCTGGAAAAGTACAGGTGTACAGAAACCAAGGCTTGACTGTTTGGGGTTAAAGGAGCCCTGATGCTTCTGGTTCATGTGAACCAAACAAGAAGGGCAATGGCTCCAAGCCAACACAGGGAAAGGGAGCCACCCGAGGGTGGGTCAACCACATGCCAATGCCGCTCTACAGGAGGTCCCTTCCTACCTCAAAGCATATTTTGATTCTCAAAGTAGCTGGGCATTTGGGAAAGGAGGGCGGGGACCAAACCAGATCAGCACACCCAGGCACACCCAAGGGCTGAGGCCCTCAGAACAGGATGGCACCGCCCTCCCTCCGCCCCTGCCCCAGGCCCAAGAAGGGCAGCTGCTTTATCTCAGGTGGCAGCTGGGCTGGAGGGAGGGAACAGGGCGCAGATGGAAAGGGGAAGAAGTGGGTGAGGGGGCAGCTCTTAGCCGTTTCTCCACTCCACACCCCGCTTCCCTTTCGAAACAATCTCCACACTGCTCCCGATTGTGATTATGCCCCAGAACATCTAGCTTCTGGTTCAACCTGAAACACTCTGGGGAGAGAGCCAGAAACGACTCCCAGTTGGCAGCTGCTGTGTAGGCACAGAGAGCAGCTGCACAAACTTGGCTCCACAGAATTCACCTCGACAACAAACAGGGCCACGCCTGCGGCTCACTTGGGACTGGCAGGAGGACCCTGATCCTGTGTAGGTCCTTCGTGCAGCGGGAGGATTGCAACACCCCAGCACAGTCGCTGCTGCTGCCGCCCCCACACTGTACCTACAGATATTCCAGGTTCTCAAGTGTGTCATTATTTTAAAATTCAGAAACAACTCACCGTCCAACCCACTTCAGTTAAGTTAGGGAGCAGTTGAATTGAAAAAGGACACCCAGGCCAGGTACGGTGGCTCACGCCTGTAATCCCAGCACTTTGGGAAGCTGAAGCAGGTAGATCACCTGAGGTCAGAAATTCGAGAGCGGCCTGGCCAACCTGGCAAAACCCCGTCTCTACTAAAAATATAAAAATTAGCTGTGTGTGGTGGCAGGCACTTGTAATCCCAGCTACTCGGGAGGCTGAGGCAAGATAATTGCTTGAACCCAGGAGGTAGATGCTGCAGTGAGCTGAGATTGTACCACTGCACTCCAGCCTTGGCAACAGAGTAAGGCTGTCTCAAAAACAAAACAAAACAAAAAAAGGAAAAGGGACACCCAAATTCATGATTAACTGTTCCCTTAACTGTATGAACTGGACTTTGTTGATATCCAAGTTCTAAACCCTCACCCAGTGTTGAGATGAACAAACAGACATTATTTACTTCATGTTTATATCCATTAAGGCATTGCAATTTTATTTCCTCCAAAGGCTTCCTGTCTTTTCATATTCTGTCTTCTAAAATGTCATCCCAGTGATCTTCCCCTTAAAAAGTCCCCTTCAGTATGAATTCCTTAATCCACATGAAACTGTCTGAATCTCTCCCTCCCTAATGCACAGAGCCCTCTCTCACTGAACTTCTCACTCTGGCAGAAGGATCCCTGGGAGAAGTGTCACTGAGCCATCTTGGGAGAGATGAGTTGCTTAGGAACTCACATGGATACACTGTGAAATAGAAATACATTTCTACTTGCATACTGTTCACTAAATATTGAGATCAGAACAGCCAGGTGGTTCTAAGCTAGTTACTACAAAAGCACCTCCAAGTCAAATTCAAATGGACTACTCTAAATAGCAAGTCTATTTTCATTTATGTAGTTAATAGTAAGTCACTTATCAATAATGGGTGTACATTACCCAATACCAGTGGGATAAAGGCTGGAGAGAAGACTTCACTTTACATTTCACAGATTTAAATATCCAAAGACTGTATGATGGCCATATTTGGAGTTGAGAGAATAATTGGCATCACATGCCCTAGGAATTCATTAAACAAGTGGAAAGCGAATATTCCTCCCCATAGCACATCCATGGAACCCTCAGTATCACACAACATGAAAGGCTTACTGCATGGAGAAAGGTAACGGGAAGTCCTTGAATCACTTCCTGCCTGCCTCTATTCAGCTGCTCACCCCCTGGTGGACTATACTTGGGGGCACAGATGCTAAGGGGCATTCCACAAACTGACCAGCTCCCCAACTACTGCCATCATAACTTCAAACCATCAGTGCCCTTTCAGTCATCTTCCCATCGTCTCCACTGTCTGGGAAGCCAGGGTGTTCTCAGTGCTAACCACCATCCAGATCCTTTCAGGGACTGAATTTTTCTCAAGTGTACTTTCTTAGTGAGGGAAGTGGCTGTACCCACTTCCTACAGGTTGTGGCTCAAAACAAATGTGTGTGAGAAACAGCTTATAAACCACAAGATGCTATAGAATTGGTCACTATCTCTACCAACTTAAACACCAAGAGCCCACACTTCCTTGCTATTATTTTCTGGTTTTATAAGTTCATATTCTATTTTCAAGTGTGCTTATATGTCTTACATAGCTTTCCGGTCCTAATTTTTCTGCTTCAAACATGTTTTTGTAAACTCACTATTCCGTAACAATCACCCTCCTTTTTCTGCTTACCAAATCATCCCAATTTGGCCTGCACCTTACTGCTTTCATTTTCCATTCCAATCATTCCCTCTTCTTAAAGCCAGTGGGGGACTGCAGGTCCCTAGTGATGACCAAGTATCATTCCATAGAGAAGAGTCTCTCCTCCACTCTTGTCCTCCCCTCAGACTCTAAAGAACACCGAGTATTGTTGACGACATTCATCAGTTCACTATCTATGTGACCTTGAACAACTGACTTAATTCCAAGTGTCCAAGATAGCACTTGTGAATCAAGTCTGCTAAATGAGACAGGCCCTTGGTTTGACATTAATCCTCTGCCTCTATCTATCCATGACCTGCTTCTTCCTTAACCTCCTGCCTTCTGTGACTCCTACTTCAATTATTTTCCCTGTTTCTGCCTGCTCCTTCTCAGCCATCAATTCCCAGACTCCTTAGATTTCCAAAAACAGTATTTAAAAAGGAACAGAGCAGATGCCATGGCTCATACCTGTAATCCCAGCATTTTGGGAGGCTGAGTTGGATGGACTACCTGAGGTCAGTAGTTCAAGACCAGCCTGGCCAACATGGAGAAATCCTGTCTCGGCACTCCAGCCTAGGTGACAGAGCAAGACTCCATCTCAAAAACATAAAAATAAAAAGGAACACCTATCCATGGGCCTGCTTTGTTTCTGTCAATAATTTGTTGTTTCCGGTCTGCAATACTAAAACATAGTTATCATGCAGCTACCTTCAAAATTTTCATGTCATCCACTCCATATTGAGAATGTCACCAAACTTACTATTTCTGTCAAACTGCCTCCTGAATTAGCCTTTTATTCTTCAGCATCCACCACTCAACTCAAAGTCTCATCCTGTTAAGTCTAGAGGACTATCAGAGTTCAGATCAATGTCCTCACTTCTGTTTTCTCCCTCTCTTTTCCTTCCTCTAAAGCCAGAAGGTTCTTAAACTTCTTGGTCTCAAGATTCACTCTTAAAAACTGGGGACTGCAAAGAGCTTTGGCTTATGAGGGTTATGTCTATTGATATTTATCATACCAGAAATTAAAACTAAGAATTTTTAAATTGTTAATTCATTTT